TTTTTAATATTTAAATGATATGATTTATGTTACATTTTTTATCTTAAATTTTGATATCAAATTTTAATCTAATTTATTATTATTCGTCTTAGAATCAATGCAATTTGAAATATAAATAGTTAGATGAACTATATCTTCTAATATTTTAAATAATAATTGAAGTTGAACAAAAACCTACTTTTAACTATTTTTCTTACTAAATTTATAGATTTTAACCTCTCACTTTATATTATAACACTTTTAACCTTTCACTTATTAGAATTAAAAAAAATAACTATCACTTTATAATATTTTGTTAGTTCTGTTAGTTGACTATTAAGTTTGTTAGCTGATTATTAACTATATTAACTGAAAGTAAGTTTTTACCAACTAATAATTAGTTAATATAGTTAATAATTAGCTAACAGAATTAACAAAATATTATAAGTAAGAGTTATTTTCTTTAATTTTAATAGATGAGAAGTTAAAAGTGTCATACTATAAAATAAAAAATTAAAACTTACAAATCTAATAAGGTAAAAAGTTAAAAGCATGCTCTTGCCTTAAAATTATAAGTATGCTTTTGCCTTAAAGTTGTGTAATTTAGATTACGTACCCAACACTTATATTTTTTATATTTCAGCACATCAAATTTGTGTTCAAGTGCTAACTCAATACTTGAACTTTGAACCTTACCTGCGAGCCTTTCATATTAAATCTTACCATTAAGTTAAAACTTTTTACATAACATAATATGTGAGTCAATATACATTTTATCCAAAAAAAAAAAAAAATCATAACTAAACCATTACTGTTTAAATTTTGTTATTGAATTGGGCCGTAGAAAAACAAAAATGAATCAGACTCTTCAATGAACAAAATGAATCCAAGCTAGAATCTTGAGTCAACGAGTCGAGGCTATGTAATTAAGTATATATTCTCTTGACATTGAAAAATAGTGGAAATACAGAGTCTATGTTATACAGAGGCCCGTCACAAAAACCAAGCAGGCAGGAAGCTCTTCCATGGACAACAAGACGCAACTGGAATTATTGCTGAATTTTAACTATATACCATAAAGATTACAACGGGAAAAAAAAAAAAAATTGGATAGTATATTGAACACGTCACCTGTATCTAACAATTTAAAAGAGAAACTTCAAAGAATAAAAGAAATAATCGAAAATCACTCCATTGGCGTGTCTATAATTTCTTAACCTTATTATTTTCTATTCCCAGTTTTGCGTTTCCCATCAGCAGGAGCTGGCTGCCTTCCATTTCTATGTGTAGGGCCAACTCCAACTCCATTTGCTAGTTTCCTTGATGGTGAAGGTCCTAGCATTGGTGTTAAATTTTTTCTGCAAAAAGTTGTAATAGAATGTTTAGTAACAAGTTAGAAAGTCACCTTTAGTAACCAACTCTAGATGAAGGTTTTGCTCACCTCAATTCTGGTGTCCTTGCTGGTCTTGAACTAGGTTTCTTGGTCTTTGATTCAATCCCATTGGCTAAGCTGGTAAGATTGGACTGATTGAATTGCCAGAGCAAATCAGGCTCAGATGAGTCACTGGTAGCTGCATCAAGATCATCCGTATCATCAGCACTAGTCGTGTTGAACCTGTTTCCACCCATGAACATGTTGTATGATTGGTCTTGGTAGGTTTTGGAAGAATCCTTGAGATATTTCTGGTAGAAGACATCTTGCAGATTTCCATTTTCTGCTTCCCAACATGCCATTGGATTTTCAACCCCGTTAACAACATCCTGCTTGTTCACCATGACCTTATCTACCCACTCTCCAGACCCCATTTCCTTTTCATCATCTCTATACTTTTGGTCTGGGCTGATAACCGGAGGCCAGGGAGGTGAATTCGCCAACAGCTCATCGAGATCAAAGCTTTGTCTCTTTTGCCTCAATGTAGAGTTGGTGCACACCTACCAAAACCAACACATCAAATAAGTTGTTTAAAATTTTTGGCATGATACTCATTAACATGATCAATTGGAGAATTTAAGACATCCCCCAATACAAAAGAATGCGCTGAAATATAAGGCTAAGGATGGGAAAGCGAGAATTACCTCTATGTTGCCAACATCACCCATGGGTTGCCTTCCACCCACCATATTTCCAACTCGCTGATTAAAATTAAAAGGTGACAAGTCACTAGTTTTTGTTCTGTATCTCTCTGCACTGCCAGATACAGAATGCTGACCTTGCTCCATCTCTCCCTCTTTCCTGGCCAGCGCAGCCTTGAGGCTAGCAATCTAACGCATAATTTTGACATGTTACTTAAAAAAAGAAGAGAAATCTCTATTTGCAAAGATAAACAGGTAATTGAGATTTATAAACCTGTTCTTTAAGCTCTTTAACATCTGCACTATCTTTGTTCACTTTGGCAGCACCAAGTTCAACAGTGGCCACCCGCTCTGCAAATTTTAGAGTGCTTATTGTTTCACCCAAAGCATCAGACTCAGGGCTAATGTGAACAAACATTAGTGTTTTTGCTTGCCCTCCTGAAAACATTCAGTTCCAACTTCATAATTAGAACTCTGGAAATTAAAAAGAATTCAGGAAATGTCGCTTCTATGAACATCTTTGACCATGTAGCCTTACCAAGTGAGTCCTGAAGCAGTTGTGTAAGTTTGCTGTTTCTGTAAGGCACATGTGGATTCTTTTGAGCAAGGGAAGCAATCACATCTCCTAAAGCTGAGAGAGACCTGTTTATGTGCTGTGCCTCTTTTAGTCTATCTCCTGTCGCCTCAGACTTGTCTACTCTCTCACTTCCTGCCAGATCAACAAGATGCATACAGCCACGAAGAATAGTTCCTGATGTCAAATCTCTACCTTGAACATGAACGGTCAAGCAACTGCAAATTGATAAAACATAATTTAGCATACCAAGAAGAACTGCTATAGGATCACACATTAGAAACATAGGTAAATAAGAAGTTACCTATGAGAGCGGCTACTGCGCTCATTGAGGGCAGTTGCACCTACAGCACGATTCCTTTGTCCAAGGTTCATCAGATCAATAACATCAGATGTTAATGAAACAGGAACAAGGTTTGCATCAGGGACATTAAGACCTGTCTGAGAACTATTTCGAATTTCTAATGTATCAAAGGTTAAGGATAGACCAACGTAAGAAATATTCACAGGCGATCATTTCATTTTGACCTTTAAACCAACTTGAATCTCAAAGCAACACCCAACTTGATTGAGTTCCATAAAATGGAATCTATATAACTACATTTCAACAGGTTCTCAACATGGATTACTGGTAAATAGATATGATTTCATAAATTTGTTAGAAACAAAACCAAAATGATGTGTAAAGGATATCTTTTGTTACTTCCATCTGTAACTAGGAGGTCTCTAACTTGCTCATTATAAATTTCAATCATCTGGACAGCAACTTCATAGTGGAAAGTATCCCTTCTCTGTTCTGCTAGAAGAAATAAATCTCCTAACGCTCTATAATTAACACCTTGATTTTTCTCTGTCAGATCTTTAGGTCCACTCTGGAAGGAAACCAATTCCAAGATTGGCAAATTTTGTCAAATGAAAATTTGTTTACATATTGTCTTTTAGAGAATAATCTATGTATTTCTTACCATAGTGTAAGTTTTCCCTGATCCAGTCTGACCATAAGCAAATATGCAAACATTATAACCATCAAGAACTGATCGAATAAGTGGCTGCATATCAGAAAAGACCTCCGCTGCAATACAATAGGATGTAACCGTGTAAGTAATGTTAAGGTAGGCCATAGCTGAGAAATTATTAATCAAACAACTGATCTCCAACTGTGGAACCTTGGGTTGCTGATGGACCAAAGACTTTATTGAAGGTGAAGGACCTGCACCCTTTTCCATGCTTTGGAGTCTTAATACTGATGTTTCCTTCTTCTATATTGTCAACAGTGCTCAGATAGTTTGATTGTCCAGACAGGAATGGTCTCACTCGACAGTAAACTCGGATACTTCCTGTTCAATAAACGAACAAAGCTCCTTAATCCACTGTAAGACATAATATTAGAGATTAACATGATATAGACTTTGATCTAACTTACCTTTAAGGTCCTGCACCTGATTGTACAACTTGCGATTTTCTTCTAGGACTTTGTGATATCCTGAAGCAGCACTAGCTAGACCGTGAATGTGCATACCTGTAAATGAAGTATAAACGTTAAGTTCTGAAATAATAGGTCTTCTTGAATTCAGCTTCCACTTCCTAACAACATGAATTAATGAGGACTTCAATAAAAGGAAAACAAGCATCTTTCTACCAAGATTGTTTAACTCCTCATGAAATTTCATCTGTATGAACTGCATGCCAGCTTTTGTGGTGTTAGTATCATGCTTTAGTTCCTGCATAAATATAATAATAAGCATGAGGTCTAACTAAGAAAGAACCTATTAAAAGTGAATGGAGAATACAGACAATTGGTTCCTAACCTCAATATGTTTCTGTTGTTGATCAAAGATCATTTGTTGTTTCAGACTCTGACTTCTTAATTCCTCTTCTGAAACGCGGACTGGGAAGCATTCCTCTTTCTTCACCACCTTGAAGTTCTTTTCTTCAGTCTAAATCAGTAATAGAAAAGAATTCTTCTTATATGCTACCACGAATGTTATGAGTTTGGACACTGAATAAATTTCATTCAGGGACCCAAACGGCATGTAAATTTCAGTGAATACCTTCTTATCTCCAGATGAAGATCTCAAAAAGGATTTGTTGCAGTGAGAAGCAGCAGTATCTTTTGACATTGTTTTCATCTTCAGATTAAAGTGGAAAGAAAGAATAAACAAACACTATTATGATCAATTTTTCATTCCGCAAATTTTGAATGAAAATTTTAGAATGTTAAACACTAACATACCAATTCACATTGGCTTGCAATGCGATGCTCAAACTCCTCCACCACTCGACTTAGTACAGACTCCACCAACTATTATGAGCCAAAGATAAACCAAATAACAGCAATATCAGAAGAAATAAGCATTGGTAACCAAACAAGAACTAATGGCAGCAATGGCCATTAAGGAAAAATGCAAAAAGTTTAAAGAGAACCTCCATCCAACATCTTTCAATAATAGAAGTGGATGAGTTCAATAAATTGAACAGTGTTTATGTTAATTTAGACAATGCTGCCTGTGGATATTCTTTGCATAATTACATGATCAGTCTGTAACTGATCCATGTTGAAGTTAGTACCAGCATTGGACAGTTTTTCTCCTAAGCCAGCTATATAAGAAAAAACGTCATAAATCAGGATTAGTATTGAATTGACATAAGAATAAGAATATAAGGCATTACCATAGGAACTTCTTCAGGCCTCTTATCCAAAAGAACTGCACGAACGAGCATGCTCAATGGACCGGAACTAGACTGCATGTAAGAATAATTTCAGAAGTTGTCTCAAAGGTGAACTGCTGCTTAAATAAGAGGTGTAAAAACATAAATGGTCAAGCTTACCAACCATTTTATTAGGATCAAGTTCGGAGGAGTAACCATTCAACAATTTTTCATTCGTTGATGAGGTCCTTGACAAGGAATTTGTGAATGGCTCTAAATTTTTTCTAACAAAGGACTTCCCCAAGGTAGTTGTTAAAGGTTTTACATTTCCACCGAACTTCCATACCCCATTTCCACCAGTCATTTTCCAATCATTATAAGACTTCAGCGCAAGAACACAATTCACAATCCTTGCAGATTTTCCTCCCTGAAATTTAATTCAGAATAACATTAAACAAAAGACCCAAAAAGAAAGAATTCTAAAAGTAGATGCTAGAAAACAACAAAGATACCACACAGATCATGCCAATTGTTCTCTCAGTATAATTTTTTCAACATACTTGCTCTAGATCAGATGCCTCAAAAGTAGGAATTCCCATCTCTTGTACAGCAACAAGGAAATTCCTCACATTTTCAAAGTACTGAAACGCCGACAATGCAGCTCCATCAGGGATGAGAGCAGCATCACATGGACTCTCCAC